TTTTTTTTTTGGTTTTCTTCAGCGCGCTCCCTGCCTGCTGTTGTGTCTGTCGGCCTGCTGCATCCTCCATCTCTCTGTCCCGCCATCGCTGCTAATGACGTGGGGAGTCTAAGGGGCACGGCAACTCATATTTGACACAGGCAAGTGCACGGGTGACAACGATGGACGGGTCTTCTTCAGCGACGCCGTCGTACGACCTCAGTATTTTCGACCCGATGTATCCGTTATCGGATGGCGAGTCAAGCAGTGACAAGAAAGTGGAGTCCACTGCCGTTGGCAGGGCCCGATTAACCGGTAGAATTAGGCCCGGTAATGGGAACCGCCGCGGCACTAGTAGCAGCAGAGGAGCCTCTGCTGACTCCCTCGAGGACACGCACGCAGTGCAGACGTGGGGCACCGCGGGGCACTCGTCAGCGCGTAAGGACCGGGCGGCGGGACTCTCGCCACCTGCGTCTTTGGTCAGAAGGAACAGTGCGGGCAGCGGCGGCAGTCTGGGCATAGTGGCTGCAACTTTTCGGCGCACCAAGACTCTAAACGAGGAGGGCCGTGTTGTCAGCCACAACTTCATAGTGGTCCAGCCGCGTCCGGGACTGAGGGTGGAGATACCGGAGGAGAACCAGGAGGAGTACGAACACGAGCTGGGAGAGATTCTGCAGAAGAAGGTCAATGGCAGCGCCAGCTCCTACGATCAGCGGCGCCCACTTGGCGCCCACGGAAGAAGCCAGCTTTACGTCAGCGGCAGCTTCTGCTCGCGCGACTCAGTGACACTCATTCTGCCGTCAATAGGCCGACGCATCACTTCGGCCAACAGGCGTATCCGTACGAAGGACGTCTCGCGGAGCTTTTGGCATCCGAAAGGTGCAGTTGCGGAGGGCAGTGCGCCGGTGCACGCCGACGATGTGCCGCTGAAGACGGCGGTAGAGGTGGAAGCGCCCGTCTTTCGCGCGCCAGCGCGGAAGCTGCAGCCGAGTGAACCACCGAAAGCGCAGAAGGATGTGCGGCAGCATGCAGGGCCGTCTGAGTCTGCGGATGGTAGCGACAGCAAGCAGAGTCGGCGTCGCGGTTTCTTCGATCGCCTCCTCTGCATGTGAAATCGTACGTATAGGTGTTGCTTTGTTGATTCCTGCTACGCTAGAAGCCAGAAATATTTTCGTTTGATATCGTATCATTTCCTTATTTAGTCATTATTGTTTTATTTCTCAGTCCTCCCTCAACCAATCAACGTGATGTGTGGAGTCGTATCATACACGTATATTGATCCTGTCATTCCTCACTCATCATCCTCTTTGTTCACTGGCATTTCTCCTTGTGTGATGCACGCATTGGTCCTGTTGTATGCGCAGTAATTGTTGTGCGCCGTGTTCCTCCGTTTCTTGCTTGCTCTCTCGTTTTTTTTTTTAGCCGCTAAGATCATTGAAACCGAGCAACGCCTGAATCATGACTTACATCCCAAGCCCAACCGCGCCGATGCGGCTGATGGAGTACAATATGCAGCGTGCCGCCGTGCGGCAAGTGGCGTACCAGGCCATGGCCCAGCGGGAGCAGATGATGTACCATGCAATGTTGGAGCACCATGGGCACCACGGTGGAGGCATGGGTATGCCGATACCCGACTATGGAGGCCCGTCTAGGCCGAGTGGGCCGATGCTCGAGGGTGGAGGCATGTATCTCGAGGGCTCGTACGCTGGAGACATGCAGCAGCAGCAGGGATCTTTCAGTGGAGGCATGCAGCAGCAGGGACCGTACGGTGGAGATATGCAGCGGCAGGGATCTTTCGGTGGAGACATGCAGCAGCAGGGATCTTTCGGTGGAGACATGCAGCAGCAGGGATCTTTCGGTGGAGACATGCAGCGGCAGGGATCTTTCGGTGGAGACATGCAGCAGCAGGGATCTTTCGGCGGAGACATGCAGCAGCAGGGATCCAGCACCAACAACATGTACGGAGGGTAGTCGCCTGCAGCATTATTTATCATGTGCACTGCAAGTCGTTTCTGCGGCTGAAGCAACGTTATCCCGTTCACCCTCATGAGAACGCCCCTGGAGCTGGTGAAGCCCCATGGCGGGGCATTTGTGTCTTTGTGTCAACTGAAAGGAAAGTGTAGACGATATCAATCATTGTGTCCGCCAACAGTACATGCATTTAGCCCAAACCGTCACAGATGTGGAAAGCAACTTCTATGAAAAAGTGAGAAGAAAAAACGAACGGAGGGCATTATGGTTAACATAGGTTTTTTTCTCACTCTCTCTCTCCCTCCCTCTTTATTCCTCCCTCATTATGTGTGTACTCTGACCATCCGTGTTGTAAGCGGCACCCCTCTGTGTTTGGGCGTTTCCGCAGCAGCAGGCCGCGCATGTTGTTGGCGAGTGGGCGGTGACGGGGATGCGCCACACTGCACACAGCAGCGGGGGCCAGTGGTTCATATTTCGTTCTCTTTTTCAGTTCTACCCATTATTATTGTTGATGGTGCTGGTCTCTCGCGTGTGATTTTTAGACACGCGTGGAGCCCACACCGGTGTCGCAGCGGTACGCAAGAAAGCGACCGACTGCTGTGACACTTCTTTTTTTGTTCCGTTTGATTATTTTTCACAACTCTGTGCGCATCCCGCCGCTGCGGAATGGCGCTGGCGGTGTGTCAGCATCATTGGCACGACATGCACAGAGCGGGAGAAGTATGCGTGTCTACGTGTGTGTTCTTCATTGTGTCTTTCCTCCTCCTTCGTTGTCTCTTCAACCTACACACGCATACCGCGGGATTGCGGATCTCTGCAGACTCGATTGAGTTCATCGCGGTGAATAGCCAGAGGGGAAGCACCTGCAACTGACGCAGAGAAGAAATCAAAAATAACTTAAAACCAGATTAGCTCACGGCAGAGACTCTCATTCTTTGTAAAGAAGCAAGCGTGAGAGGACTCTTATAGTTTTTTTTTTGTGATTTGTTTACCTCCCTCGTTCGTCGACGACGACTTTGCCCCCACGGCCCGTAGAGAATCTGGGAATGCTGATGGACGGCAATGGCGAATACGATTTCCTCCTCACACCCAAGGGGTCAAATGCGTGGGGAAATATGATGCTGAACAGCGGCAGTAGCAGCAGCATCGATAGAAATGATAACAATGTGACCACCGGCAGCGGCAAGGTTGGAAGTGTGTCGTCGATGGATGAGGCGGTTGAGAACTTTTTGGCCATGTGCGGGGCCACCAGCTTGACGCCCAACGACGACAGCGCGTCTGGGCGGAGGCACAATACAGCAGCCACCACGATGACGAAGACAACAACGACAGCGAATGCCAGCAATGGTCACGCCTCGCTTCGGCACGAGGCCCCCTTCAGGGGGGCGTCGGTGTCCCTGGTGGTCGACGACGGGCCGCAGGATGCTAGTCCGAAGGTGCGTTGTGACGCCTTACTGCAAAGCAAGAGCCCCAACACCGCCGCCGCCATGGCGCAACTGGAGGAGCTGATGGACTACGACCTACGCGCGACGGATGACAGCGCAGTGGAGGCCGTAAGCCCCGGTGCCTACGCCGCCTTTGAGGAGTTCCTGCAGGGCCTCGCGGAGCAGCCAGCTTTGGTATCGAGTCCTGCACTCCACGATCCCCCCGATGTGGCGTCAAATCCCGCACTTCACAATCCTCCAGATGTGGCGTCAAATCCCGCACTTCACAATCCTCCAGATGTGGCGTCAAATCCCGCACTTCACAATCCCCCAGATGTAGCGTCAAATCCCGCACTTCACAATCCCCCAGATGTAGCGTCAAATCCCGCACTTCATAATCCCCCCGATGTGGCGGCAAATCCCGCACACCACAAGTCCCCAATGGCTGTCGCTGCTGCAGCTGCTCGCCGCCGCGCCTCGTCGGGACTGCAGAGCATCATGATCCCGCGGGCTCAATTCATCAGGGAGGCGAACATGCCATTATCCGCATCGGAAGCGGAGGCAGCAAGAGCAAAGGATAACAAGTATGAGCGGAGCAACGGGCGGCATGTCGTTTTCGCGCCGGGTACTGAAAGCCCACCGCGGTACCGCAGTGAGAGCCCGTCGTCAGACGATGGGAGTGACCCGTGAGGACACCAAGCACGACATGGGGGAGAAAAGCCAAAGGGATACCTTTGTGTCTGTGTGTTTGTGTGTGTCCGCGTGGTTTGTTTTTGTACCTCTCTGTGGTTGTATATGGGACTATCGATAAGTCCTTTTTTTGTCTGCTACCGATACTAATCTTGTATTTATCTCCTGTTTTCTGGTTTGTTATGTGTAGCTGAAAATCATATATTTGAATCGAAGTGAATCTCTTGCTCGTTTTTTGTTTCCACTCCCATACATCTTGTTTCTTTCGTCTGTTTGCTGCTGATGCTGCTGCATTCCGGGGTCCCTGTTGCTCCCTTCCATTCACGGCGTGCATGTTGGGGTGGGTGAGGTGTGCCCTCTGAGCCGAGTGTGCTTGCATATATGCCCCCCACCATATGGATGAAAGATCGGCGGCGGCAGCAACAGCAGCTGCAGCATCAATGACACTGAATGTCTAAGCACACACATACGAAAAACACGCAGGTAGAGAAGGCGTCGAATTTATCTTTGCTTGGGGAAAGCAAAAACACAAAAAAAGTGAGCTTTCTTCCTGTTTTCCACCAATTTCCTCCTGTTTTGCTTTATTTCGTGTACTACGCAACACTGACGCGTGTGTGTTGATGTATTTCGTGGCGTTGCAACGAATAGGAGCAAAGAAGCAAAAAAAAAAAATGACGACAAGCGGCCAATGAGAGACGAAAAGAACTAAAGGGAATGCTTGTGCCACAATGGGCGTTCTGCTTCTTTGATTATTCACGCATTCGTGTATCCCCTGCAGTAGAGGATGGTGGGGCGGTGCAGCACGCCACACTAGCCTCACGCCAGCACTCCTCACTGTGTTGCCTCACTCATCGCCCTGCGCCTTCGTTCTGTCTCTTCGAGTTGTATTTAATCCAGGAGTCTTAGCGGTGTATACGCAGACGCATATTTATTCGCGTGTACACAGACGTGCAATGATGATGCTTGACAAGCCGCGTAGCGAGAGCAGAAGCGTCAGTTTAGCATCCCCCCGGGGATCTTCCTTCGAGCGGCACCCGGCGGACACGGCGAACAGAAGCGTCTGTAGCTACTCCTTCGGGAGTGACGACGCCGGTGGGTCTGGCCGCAGTTTGCAGGAGAACGACCGCATGACGGAGTGGGGCACTAGCTTCATGGCTCAGTTCTTCGACTCGATCGATATTGAGGACGCCCCCGCCGACCCCCGCCACGGCGGTAATAGCAGCAGTGACAGGGAGAAGGGGAAGCGTGGGTCGGAGCGTGAGCCGGTGGCAAACAGCACTTCCTCTGCCATGAGTAACGACAGGAATGACAAGATAGAGAAGGTGCCGGACACGCAAGACATGCACAAGAAGGTGAAGCCGCTTCCACTGGAGAAGAAGTCATATCGCGATTACCTCGCGAGGCCGCGCGATGCGAAAGTAACGCACTCTCAGCCTCCAGGTTTTCCGGTGCCTTTAGGTGTTTCTCCATGGGGATTCCCTGGGGGCATGAATATGCTGCAGCAAACATACCCGTCTCCACAGCCGCCCGTCGCGCTTCCGCCTGTGAGGCCCCTCCCTCGTCCACAAAATCGGCAATGGAGCCAGCAGGCGGATGTCGCACATTTCGCGCCGCAGCCGGGCAGCGGCCCTTTCCCGCCGACGTCACCATGGCATTCCACGGAGCTTCCGCCAGTGCGAATGCCCGCGCATTTGAACACGGTGCCGATGGGCATGTATCAGTACAATCGCACCCACATGATGGCCCCACAGGAGCAGCAGCTCATGATGCAGAAGCAGCAGCACTATGTGCCGGCGGCATCGGTGTATCCACAGCCACCGCCAGAAACCCAGCGTCGGAGCGTAAACATCGCAAAGGTCAGGCGTCAGGCTCTGTCGGCCCGGCAGTCTTCACGGCAGGGGATGCGGAGGCAGCCGCAGAAGTGACGATGGAAAGAATAATCCGTGACGAGTATGCAGGCGCCACTGGCGTTATGGGTATCTTCGAAGGACACAAGCACGTACAGTAAACCAGATCGCATATATTTTTCTTGCGTGTCGCTTGTTTATTATTTATTCACTGCATTTGTAGAAATGTGATGGGGGGTCCCAACCGAGGGGGGCGCAGAGGGAGAGAAAGTAAGAAGGATGAGGAGAAGCGGTAGACAACGGGCAGGAGCAGCAACAAGAATGATGCTGAGCCCTTCGTTTCAACTGTTCCGTTTTGCTTTGCCTTTTGTTCGCCCTCCCTCCCCTCACCCTTTTTTTTTTCCGTGTTCGCATCAATGTGGGCCCTCTTCGCTGCTGCGCGCCGCCACACCTGCCGCCACTGCAGGGGCGGTGCACCCCGGACGTGCAACGAGAAGCGAAGGGGGGAAGAGGTGGGGCGTATGCGCTGCGACGCATGCAATGCGCATAGAATGTTTGGGGGATGACTAGTCTGCGTGCTGGCGCTGTACATCTCATTCATCCTTTCCCCTGCTGTATGCATATTTATATATGCATGTTGGTTTCATTTGCGTCGAACCACCTGCTGCCTCTCTTTCTCTCATTCCGTTAGTCCGGGGCTCGGCTGAATGGCAGCCGGTTTATTACCGTTTTCGCTTTACGTAACTATTTATATTAACCACCCGGTAACTCGTGACGCAGCTTTTCTTCTTCCTCTCTGTTTGCTTGTCTGTTTCTCTCATACCCCAGCGCATTTTCTATTCGGGTCTGGAAGTGGTATTCATGGTTAAAGAAAAGTATGAGCCGATCTGTTTCTCTGTGTGTGCAATCCTTCGTTATTTTTAGATGTGGGTATATATATATATATATATATGGTTGACTGAGTAGGTGTGTTTCATGTCCTTCTGCTGGGCACTGAGCTCTACCATTATGTGAGAGATTGTTTCCGTCATTGTTCCTCCCTGTGTGTTTCTGTCGCTGCCGGCACTGTTCGGGTGGTCGCGGTAATAAACAAAATGCTCAACGCAAACGAGGGTAAAGCACGGGAGTTTACTCACGGGGGGGATTTGGTATGTGATGCGAGTGCGTGTGTGTGCTGCTCATCGCTGGCGTACCATGGGTCCATCCTGTGTGTGTGTGTGCATGGATGCATCGCCGTGCTGCCTCTTTGTTGTCCATAGAGGCATCGACCCCTCCTCTCCGCGTTTCGCCCACATATATTTCTACACGCACCCACGTATTCACAGAGCAAGGGAGACGGGTGCGGTGGGGGGTGGAGGTGGAGGTGGGCTTCCGCAAGTATCTCTGTATCTGTGTGGTAGAGAGCAGTGCGGGGGCAACGCTGCAGTGTCACGAATAACCACAACTGTGCCTGGTATTGGCCTTTCTCCACGCACCCATTATGGTCAACGCGTACGGGTGCACTTGCACATCTGAAGAGGCAGAAACTCTTGTGCCTTTTTTTTTTTTCATCCTCAAAATCTTTTTTTTTTTTGCTTCGTTACGTTTCATGCTGCCACATAGTGAAGCTGCGCATGTGCATGAACTAAAAAGACTCCCACGCGTCACNGGCCTTTCTCCACGCACCCATTATGGTCAACGCGTACGGGTGCACTTGCACATCTGAAGAGGCAGAAACTCTTGTGCCTTTTTTTTTTTTTCATCCTCAAAATCTTTTTTTTTTGCTTCGTTACGTTTCATGCTGCCACATAGTGAAGCTGCGCATGTGCATGAACTAAAAAGACTCCCACGCGTCACGAAAACCAGGGAATACCAAGCGACGAGGACAACAACACACTGTAGGACACTGCGGGCAGCGGGTAGCGGGCATAAAAGTAGGAACGCCACACGTTGAGAAGATACCATTATAACGCGTTTTAGCCAGCCTGAAGGCATGGAGTACATTACGTTGCAAGAGTCCTGGGTCAACAGACCGTCGAACGCCCTTCCCCAAGCGCACAGAGAAGAGGCAACAGACCCCATTACCGCAGATGACGTCCGCGCATCCTTTCCGTTCAGTATGGATTCACCGATGCAAGGCCGCGACGGCCAGCAGCAGCAGCAGAAGCAGCAGCAGCAACAGCGGTTGCCGCTACAGGTGCGTCTGATGTTGCAGCTCGCGGACGGCTCCACCCGCGAGTTGGAGGGTATACCACGCATGGGGCAGCTCGTACACGTGCTGTGCGATGTGCTAGGGCCGGATAGCAGAAACGGACGCGGCAACTGTTCTCTCAGCATCCCCCCACACACCGTCGTCGTCGATATGGAAAGTAACCCAAGCGCTGGCACGGACCTGAGGACAGCATCTGCCCACCGTATTTCATTCTTTTGGATTGACATCACTGGCATGCCGCAGCTGCATGACATGGACGTTCTCTTCCAACTGCTTCATGTCAACTTTCGCACGCAACGGGAGTGGAAGGCGGAGGCTGCCACCGGTTCGGACTCGCTGGATTCTGAAGAGTTACTCACAAGCACCGATGAAAGCTTCGTTGAGGACGATTCGGACGTTTGGTTGGTGCGAAGGGAGGCACACGGCCCGCAGGACCTAGACCAGCTGCATATCTTTGTGGAAGAGCAGTACGTGCAGCTGCAGCTTTCCGCCATTCCCGCCACATCCACCCGCGTCGGCCTGCCGCAGCAGAATCCGTCCTCCACGTCTGGCGCCGAAGGCGAGGCGGCGCAACAGCCGGACCGTCTGCACGCGAGCATCTTCGACGTGAGCGATGAGGGAGACCTGAGCTGTGTGCGGCTGCTCTGCTTCCGCGACGGCATCGTCACGTGGCGCCCACGGCCGGAGGTGGAAGGGTGGTCGTACATCGCCAGTGGTGTGCAGCGCCGCCTCGCCAGCACTTCCTCCACGCAGCGCATGATTACGACATCGCTCCTCCTGCACACGATCCTGGAGGAGATCTGCGAAGCGTTCCTGCCGGACCCAACGGTGGTGTTGAATGAGGTGGATGCCATCGACTCCATGTTGCCCCTCGTGCCCAACCGCGAGTCCGATCAGGCCGATGTGCTGCGGCGTGTGTTGCTGCTGCGGCGCAGCCTCTCGACGCACCGCCGGCTGCTGATGAGCAAGGTCAACCTGCTCGAGCAGCTCGGCCGCCCCGTCATGCGCACTCTTTTAGCGTTCATTACGACCGGCCTCGACAACGACAGTGGCGTCTTGCACGGCGCCAACGTCTCCAAGTTCGGCCCGCATGGGCAACTTTCGGCGCAGCGTTCGCTCTCTTGTGTGGGCAGCGGAGCGGTGACGGCGGCGACGAACTCTAACGGATACACACACACCTCAATTGCTAACCGCATTCTTCATCTTCTTCGTCAGCTCGACGGCGCCCGCACGATCCTTTCCAACGCCACAATCATCCACACCTCTGGGGTAGCGATGCGTAACAACAGTAGCAGTAACGAGTCCGACTATCGCATGGTTGTGCTGACGTATGTCCTGTTGATCGTGCTGCCGCTCACTATATTAGCGTCGCATTGGGGTATGAACTGCTGGGTGCCGTGGCAGGGCGTTGACTCGACGGTGCCATTCTGGGGCCTCTCCGGCGTCATGGCCGCGTACGCCGCGTTGGCTATTGCGTACCCGCTGTATTGCTGGGCCACGGGCAGGCCGGATAAGCTTGTCTTCTAGCCACACACCCACACAGCCGGTGGTGGATGTATTGCCAAAACTTTCGTCCAGTCGGTTGTGCCGGTCCTCCGCTGCGTGATGGGGCGCTGGAGTAAAGAGCGATTGGTTTGTTCTTGGTTGGTGTTTCGAACGAGTTGAAACCGCGAAAAACACTGTGGTGGGAAGGAAGCCAGAAACAAGCAAAGAGCCAGGCAATCAAACTCGCTTCTAACGAAAGGAGCACTGTACACCACCCTATGTTGGCGGGGGTTTGTCTGTTCTTTGCCCGCACCGAAGGAGACGTTCAGAAAGACCACTGTTGCGGAGGAACCGTGAAGAGAGGGAAAGACGTGCGGCGCAACAAAAGGTATGGATCCGCTCTCCACCGGCTGGTGCAACTGGCGGTTCTGGCTGCTTCCTCACTTGTATACACCACAATAGTGTGTTGCATCCAAACTATTATGGTGGCTTATACTATCCACTAGATGAGACCGCAAAGTGGGAACAAGCAACCTCTCTATTCAATTCGCGGCAGTAGACAAGCTGATTTACACCACGCTTCAAAACAGTTTTCTTTCTATTACTACTCCGCTTATGCCGAGAGCCTACCCTCACTCTCCTTGCTACTCACGCTCAGGCGTTGCCTTTGCGAGCCACACACACACACTCTCTCCTTTTCTACCCGTCTCTCTTTGTCCCTCCCCTCCCCGCCACAAGAACACAAGCACGCGTGACACACTCATCAATGGCTACACAGCACATGGACTACAAACAGTGGCTGGCGAAGCTCATCGCCTTCGATACGACGAGCTGCAATTCGAACCTCGACCTCATCCACTACTGCAAAGCGTACCTGGAGGGGCTCGGCGTGAAGTGCACGCTGGTGCACAACGCGGAGAAGACGAAGGCGAACCTGTGGGCGACGCTGCCGGGCGAGGGCGGCGTGACGGACGGCGGCATCATCCTCTCCGGCCACACCGATGTGGTGCCGGTGGACGGGCAGAAGTGGGACACCGACCCGTTCGTGATGACAGAAAAGGACGGGAAGCTGTACGGCCGCGGCACGTCCGACATGAAGGGCTTTGTCGCGGTGTGCATGTCGCTGACGCCGGAGTTCCTTAAGATGAAGCGGGCGAAGCCGATCCACTTTGCGTGGTCGTACGACGAGGAGGTGGGCTGCCTCGGCGGCAAGGTGCTGACGGAGTTCCTGCGCGACAACAACATCAAGGCGGACGGCTGCATTGTTGGTGAGCCGACAGGCATGAAGGTGTGGACTGGCCATAAGGGCGGATGTGCCGTCGTTGTTCGTGTGTACGGCAAAGCTGTGCACTCGTCGTACGCGCTGACGGACCAGGGCTGCAACGCCATCGACTACGCCGCGAAGCTCGTCGTGAAGATACGTGAATTCGGAGAGGAGTTCCGCAAGAGCGGCACCCACGACAAGGACTACGTGGTGCCACACACGACGATGTCGACAAACCTCATCAAGGGCGGTAACGCTGTGAACACCGTGCCCGCGGAGTGCGAGCTCACCTTTGAGTTCCGCAACCTGCCGCAGGATGCCGCGGCGACAATTGAGGGGCGCGTGCGTTCGTACGTGGACGACGAGCTGCTCCCTGCCATGAAGGCGGAGTGGCCCGGTGCCCGCATTGAGTTCACGGTGGTGGGTCCAATGCCTCCCTTCGAGGCCAGCGAAGAGGCGACCATCACGAAGCTGGCGCGTGCGCTGACAAACGACCACGAGGTGCACAAGGCTGCTGGCTGCACGGAGTCGGGTTACTTCACTGGCATTGCGGGTGTCCCCACTGTTGTGTGTGGGCCGCTTGGCGATGCGATCCACTGCGCCAACGAGTACGTTACTGTCTCGCAGATGGATAAGTGCCGCGAGTTCCTTCTGCAGGTGGCTGACAGCCTCAGGGCCCCTGCTGCCCACTTGTGATGGATGTCGCGGTACCCTCAAGCTGCATTATTTCTGCTTCTTTTTAT